CCTTGAGCTGCTTTAGGGGGGTTTTACTGCCAAAAACCAGCATCAGTGTCCCCCCCCCCCCTCATTTTTACCAGCCTTTTGTTTCATTTCTAAGAAGTACCTCTAAGTCCTGGGGTTTTGCCAAGCCTGAGCAATGCGGGGAGCCGAACTACAATAGGGATGCAATTATCTTGTATCTTGCCAGTTCCTTTACAAAATAGAAGAGACTGGGTCTAGTTGTCACATTTTTTTTTACTAATTTTTCATTTCTCATGGTCCATTTCTGTATAGGTACAAAAAATAAAGTCTTGGCTACAATAAAACATTTTTGCCGTTCTTATTGCCCAAGAAAAAAAGCACAGTTTATTTAACACCTGTTGACCTTTTGTTAAAATTATATTGGTGCTAAAATGTCACAATGGTAGCCTGCCATTAAATAGCCTGTTATAGACTTCTCACTAAGCACAATTTAAACAGTAAAGCAATTTGTGACCCTGAACCACAAAACCAGTCTTAAGTCGCTGGGGTATATTTGTAGCAATAGCCAAAAATATATTGTATGGGTCAAAATGATTGATTTTTATTTTATGCCAAAAATGGTTAGTATATTAACTAAAGATCATGTTCCATGAAGATATTTTGTACATTTCCTACTGTAAATAATATTAAAACTTAATTTTTGATTAGTAATATGCATTGCTAAGAACTTCATTTGGACAACTTTAAAGGCCATTTTCTCAAATATATATATATTCCAGATTTCATTCTAGTTGTATTTTGGCCAAATATTGTTCTATCCTAACAAACCATACATCAATGGAAAGCTTATTTATTCAGCTTTCAGATGATGTATAAATCTCAATTCCAGGGTCACATTTGTGAACTGTAGAGTTCTTTGTAGAATGTCTTTGCACTAATTATGTACACATATGTCCCCATGTAAACAAGCAAAGATACCTCATGGGTTATACACCAGCGATGTATTGAAAGATAAGTCGTCGGATTAGATTTCAGGCCACACGGATCTATTTTACATATCTCTATCAGTGGTGCCATTTGAAAATGTGATGCCATCTGGCTATGATGAAAGATGGGGTGGGCTGCACAGGCAAGAAAATATCATCTGAAGCTAGATGTTCAGCCGAGAGGGCTGTGTGCTATTGATATGAATGAAAATTAATAAATAGTCAAGAGCATTTTAAGAGGATTTGTGCCACATGCAGGTGCTCATTTAAATCTTATATAAATGTTTAAATGCATAAAGATACAAGCATTAAAATGCTGAACATGAGTCTGTTGATGAAATGTAATCAAGGCCTCCATCCACATTATATGGAGAGCCAGTAAAGTGGATGTGATATCTGCTTGGTGCTTAGAATAGATTTCATGAAATACCACAGCAAATTAATTGCATAATTTTTAAATGGGTGAAAATTAACCCGCCCTCTTCTTCCTCTAGGGGATTGACTTTGCGGCCTTTACGGGTTACATGTTCCTGGGAATCTGTCTGGTGCTGCTGACCTCATTTCCTTTTTTGAGAATGCTGTACTGGAATAAGAAACTTTACAACAAAGAATCCAGCGAAATCGTGGGTGAGTATTCATTTATTCTGCTCTGTTCCTACGCACCAGTTTTCCCAAAATCACATGGAACTACCCTCAAGTGTATGCAGAGCCACTCTGCTTTCCTTCCTTTTTTCCTTCTTTTTTTTATTCAAGCTCTTTTGTTCTGACATGTGCAATGAAAAATTAATTCATAATCCCATTGACCTAGATCTTAAAGAATGTGCAATCATTTCTAAAAACAATTTCAAGAGTGGTTGAGGGCACACTTGACCTTCCCTTGTTGACAGCAGTTCTTCCTATATGGTATGTGAATGAGTGTCATACACCGTTTTATGCTAATTGCACTAAATCTCATATCCTATCCAAAGCTCCTTACATTTGGCCTTTGAGCCCCAGTGACTGGGATAGACACAGCCTACCCTTTCATGAATGATTAGAACCTCAGCAATACATACATTTTTCATCTGCCCCTGCTCCTCCCCCACCTCTGACGATCACATTGATGCATTTAGTCTCTCTGTACCATTCGGGCTGTTTTCCCTGATATTTCCATTATTCTTATCGGATGAGCCTGTTCTGAAAGCCGTAACGCGTCTGTATTAAATACATAAATCCTGTCATAGATGACCTCTCTCAAGACCTAGACTTTATGCACAGTTTTCAGATAGGACATGTTAGAGGGTCAGTGTTTGTCTGGTTAGCATGGCCCGTTTAGCCCCTGCTGGTAGATGTTGTAATTACACCATCTGGAACCACAAAGCCACTGTGCATTTTGAAGAAATTATCTAATATTTTTTTAAGAAAAATTGTATATATGAGCAATATCACATGGGTAGATGTGAGATATGGATGTATATTGGCACGGCTGATAATTACAGCATGCCGATACTCGCATTACTCACTGTGAGCCATAACTCACAGCTATGAGTGTGATATTGCTCATATATATATAAATATATATATATATAATTTCTTATGTAAATACATAAGAAACAACAACAGAGTGTCTTTAAAAACCCACTTTTGTGCAGAACTACTTCCTTCCGCCACAGATTAAAATCTAAAGTTGTGCAGTTTAACAGCTGAGCCCAAGCCTCCATTACTAATTCCAAAACGTCACATTAGAACTAGTAACGATGGAACGTTGAGTTGCTTCACTGAAAGCTTATTGTATTACTGTATTAAAAGGTGTGTTATGTAGAGTCGAGTATTATGAGAGAGAGATTGACTGACCGAGTGTAATTACCTGCATCTGATACGGCGTTCATTCTTTAGCTCAGTCTCATATTCACAATAAAACATTAGTTTGAATGTCCACCGAGGAAGGCTCAGGCTCTTTGTCATACTATCCTTTCATCTGTTAATGGTGATTTCCGATGACAGCCCTGCTCAGTGCATTTGTTGCCTGCGTCTTACAAGCTGTTGTTAAAAGTAAAAATAACTTTGCTCTGGAACAAATAATAGATTATTGAGACTAAAGACTGCCCGTTAGATTTACCCAAAACAAATTATATCTCATGTTTAAACACTATAGAGGCATCAGAGCCAGCGGATCTGGCCGAGGTGAGGCTGCTCTCAGTGGGTTCATGAGCGCTGAACGGCTGCTGACGCCCTGGAACTCACATGTCCAAAAACGCTGAAGCAAATTTTCAAATAGTCATTATCTTTATTAACAAACTTTATAAACAAGTACATTCTCACATGAAAACCTCTTAAAACTTCATTCCGTGACACAAAAACAGTAATATTTTTAAAATTACAGTGGATTTGTGTATCTGCCATGACGCTTGCTGTGAGAGCTAGCACAAGTGGAGTGATCGTTACAAACAGTGAAACAGTTGTTGGAGCTCCGTTCTGCTATCACTCTAATATCGCGCTCTTATCAGCCAACCAGATTCGAGGACCAGAAAGAACTGTTGTATACTGTGTTTATGTATATATATACTGTATATATATATATATATATATATATATATATATACACACACACACACACACACACACACACACACATATATGTATTTATATTTTATTTACTTATTTAGAGTGCTACAGCTCTAATGAACAATGGGCTTGTAACAGTTTGTTCTTGTATAATTAGTCAAATTTACAGTTCAGGGGATTAACTAAAAAAACTCTGCCCAGAGCTTCCTATGAGCAAAGATAGCACATTTTAAATTGTAATTTCAGGTATCAAGTGTTTTAAATTTACAATATTAAATATTTTCTTGCTAACTACAAAAATACATCCTAACAGGGTACGTGTTAGAGCATGGTTATTGTTGTACTGTTTGGAACAGGGCACATTTAGCCCAAGTGTGAAGGTGCTAACACAGCTAGAAAGGCCGTTAAAGCCATCATAGACATAGACAGGTCAATACCACTCTCACCTAGGGAGTCATCGCTTCATCACCGCCTCCACTGGGAGCCCAGGCATGCTCTGTTCTTTCCCTCTTCTTTCACAGGCAGGATTTATATACTTCCTCATCATTTCTCCCATTTTGGCAAGCCACTAAAATTAATGGACAAACAAATTTCCTCATCTTCACAGACTTCACACTGACAAAATTCTGTCTCACCACCTCGAGTCTTTCCAAAACCTGTATGAGTTTCTTTTTCTTTCTTTCTTTCTTTCTTTCTTTCTTCCTTCCTTCCTTCAAAAAACACCCATATACTAAAAGTCAGTGGGGTCCAAAATGAAGAGGGCGAGTAAATGCTGACAGAAATTTGGGTTAATTTCCAACATTTAGATTGTTGTAGTGCACTGTGAAGTTTGTGAAGACGAAAAAATAAATAGGATTCATTCATTCATCATTTTTTGTAAACTTACCCTTGAGGTATTCAAGCTTCAAAATAGGATGTGTAAGCAAAGCAAGTAAGTAATTAAATAAGTAAATAAATAAATAAATATTTAAATGTAGCGATACATTTCTTTTTCTGAATTACATTCACTTTTGAGTGAATTATTCCTTTATTACAGTCACATTTTGATATATTCATTTCATTTGCTTGGTTTGATCATTTTTAACCTCAGTCAAATGGTTTATGGTCATTTTATTCCATTATTCATTGTGTAAATAAATATACAAAATAATCAGATGAGTCTTCTTCCTCCAGTTGTCAGCTTCTCTCTACAGATGGCCATTAGCCTCTTGAGCAGCTGCTCCCTCTGCTCCACTGAGACCAACTCCTCACATCTCCCATACACCTCCACACCTGAGCTCTCCTTCACACACCTGACAGTACGACAATAGCTCCTTTATAATAAACCACTCATTTTAGCCATTCACAGGCTGAAATCAGGCTCTGGGGTTCCCAGAGAGGCTTTCATCATACCCATAAATCAGAATGAGAGGAAAACACAAAGCCTTTTCTAACACCAAGTTGTGTTCTTTCTGAAAGCTCTAAGAGTCAAACAGTGGTTGGTCATCCAATTTAAACCAGTTCTTTTGAGACATTCTTTGATTCTGTAAAATAGCATGACAGTGAGAATGCAGATCTGGGCTAGAAAGTAGCAGGTATAAAAGTATGACTTTTGCATAGATCAATGTAAGCAGGAGTTCAGTCTAACTTTCATTCATCGTGTAACACTGCTTTGAATGGACCTTTATATCATAAGGTTGTGTGGAAAATAGTGGACATTTTGAGAACTTTACATTAAACTGTCAACCATCAGTTGACCTTGTTAATGTGCCAAATAGATAATCTAGTTTTTTTTCTTGTAAATAAAACAGATTATTGGAGTACATTTTCCAAGAAATAAATAAATTGACAATGCTTCAAAATGTCATGTTTAATTCAGTGTGTTTCTTTGTAATTATTTGTGAAATTTACTAGCAATTTCTGAGTGAACATTATTTCTCATTATTTTTCTTTTGGCAAAGTACTACTCTAGATTATGATGGCTACACATTTAATATCTCTAATTTGCAGCTGTAATTGAAAAAAGTGTAAGATTTAAGATTTCCAGGATTTATGGCTTGTCAACCACCCAGGCTAAAAAAAAAGTTAAAACTATAGGGACATTTTTGCATTTTTTTAATGAACTTAAAAAAATATGTTTTTATTTGGCATTTGTTTATTTGACAGTTGTGTACTTTATTTTTTAGTAATAACAACAATGAATCACTGTCCCCAATACTGCTAGGGGAGCAATATAATTTTTTGATTTTCCAAATCACAATTTTCTTTGATCTTAGATTAGTAATAATATTATTTTCTACTGTAATAATAATATCACAGTAGATGTCATTACCAAACTTACCACTATTTGAGAATTTGAATTGAGAAATTTTAGTTGTCCATGCTTACACAACATCTACACAAGATCTGTGTTGTTTTGAAAACAACCTGCTCTAGGATGCATGAATGGATGCTGCACATCTAGAGCCTTAATTACATATATGAATATATTTTTGTGCCTATCATTTTAGAGATAAAACAAACAGAGAATATCTTTCTCAGAAGGCACACTTTATATGTTCTCACACACCATTGGCCTTTGCCCACTGTGAGGATTGTCTTCCCTTTGAGACTTCATCAGCATGGGACTAGCACCTTCCAGAATGCCAATCTTCCCCTCCGTTCGGTGTTTATTGAGCTTTCGGGTGGCTAACACAATGAGAGAGTGCTAGTTGGAGTTGAGCTGATGCAAAGTCTTAGAACTCTGCTCTATAAGGAACAGGAACTTAAATGATTGGCTTGCCGGTTCCCCAGGTGCGTGCTGCGCCTGGAACCAAAGACCTCCACTAGGCCTGATGGTGACCACTCAATACCAGTCCAATTTCTAATTCTGTAAAGCCTTAAGTCCCCACAGAGCCTCATTTTCAAAAAAATCAAACCTGCTGTGCGGCTGATACAGTTTTCCAGGCCCTCGGCATGATGCATTACTGTGTCGATTGTGATCAGCATGTTTTTCCTGTGTCAATTAGCCTCTGGAAAGCTTTCCTAGCAGCCTCCCCATCACATGGTGAGGAGTCATGCTGAAGGACTAGTGCAAAACCTTACCTCTCCTATCTCTTGCTTTCTTCCCTTCTCAATATATTTTCTTTCCTTTTTCCATTCTTTGTATAATTGCCTAGCTTGTGCTTCATCCTCCTATCTTTCTGTCTGTCTGTCTGTCTATCTATCTATCTAATATATGTTATTTTTTATTTATATATTTTGTTGTTGTTTTTTTTTACCTACTTTATAGACCTTTTCCCCCCCTGAGACTGGCAATGCCCACACTTTCATTACTTCATTTCTTTTAACTACATACAAACTCAAACTTAGATAAATATTGATAAATATTTCATATTACAGATAAATATTGAAAGTAAATGGTCTGCAGTGTCAGAGCGATTCAAACTCACAGCCGTTTTAATGTGATGAAAAAAAAATCTAATTCATTGCACATTTTGAAATAATTTTCAGGAAATCTGTCACTAAATTTAGATGTAGTGAGATGTCCGTGTTACCTTTATAAAGTAATACATTCATTCATTTATACAGTAAATGCCATAATAATTGCAAAAGCGAGAGATAGTACTGTTTTAAATACTTAATTGACAGTTAATTAAGAGTCAACTACAAGAACTATAAAAGTATTGAAGTCAAATGTAAGTCTTACATATTTTGGGCTTTTTTGATCAAATCAAACATTTATTTTAAACAGTTGTCACTCCGTTGAAAATTGGATTTGTTATTGTTTTTGGCCTGATTTGGTCACAGTATTAAAAAACAAAAAATCGTCACATTGCTTTGTCTGCATTCTATGTTTACTAAATTAAGTTATACAATTAATGGGCATTCGTAGTGACTACAGACATTTCAAAGATGTTTGAGGTCAAATTTCAAAGCTTTACGCTAAAAATATTCTGAATAAATGAGTGTCACAATTATCCCTCCTTTATTATTATTTTTTCTGGATTGACTCGGTTTGACCATAAATCTCTATCTTTAATAATTCTCATTATTTGTTTCTTCCCGGTTTTTTGGAATAGATTTGAAATTCTTATCTTAATTCGTATGTGTCTGTTTTACAGCTGAACCCTTTATCTTGTCACGATTTGTGTCGCCCTGCAGAACTGAAGCATGAGATTCTGGTGTGGAGGCAGACAGCCCATCGCATTAACCCTGCCAGCCGAGAGGAGACTGCCGTCAAGTGTCTTCTCATGCAGAAGGTGCTCAATCTGGAAAGCCTCCTGCGCAAGAAGCTCAAGACCTTCCAGAGGTGCCACACTCATGCTCAATCCATTCTTTTCCTTGTCTACCTGGTTAAAATACAAGCAGTCTGTCTACACCGTGCATGGTGTTTAAAACCACGTATGTATGTGGAATAGAAATGTGTTTTTGTTGCACTTTTTTCAAAATATATCCATTCCCACTGCATGACACCTGTTGTGTCTGACGGTAGCACTTACCCAGAAGTCCAGGATGATAAATGAGAAATAATTAACCTGTAGAAAAGTAGGTAATTGTTCTCAATTGTGTCGGCTCTCTAAAGCTCTCGTAGAGAGCTTAAATTTTAATCATGCAGAATAATTTTGTTCTCAACAGTAGCCTGTTTTTATTTTTATTATTATTATGAATGCTTCTTTTAACTAAAGAAATTCGATTAGTTCTGCATGTGGTTTTGTGGGGGTTTTGTGGAGTAGAAAAGGTTCGGGGTGACCACATGAAATCACCACTCCTACTCATTTGCAGGTGTCCATGCTGGCTGAAAGGATGTATTAACACACTCTATTCTATTTTATTCCTTTATTTTCATAGGCAAATATCACAGGAAGACAAAAACTGGGAACACAATATTCAAGAGCTGCAGAAAAAGGTAAAACAAAGCTGCATTAACATGGCTTTGGTTGATTAAGTGTTGTACCTCACTGCTAACCCTGACTTATATTTCTGATGTTATCTTATTATATGATAAGAAGCTTGACCAATTTATTTGATTCCAGTGGAGTCAGAATTTAGAACACCCTGATAATAATAATAATAATTATTATTTATATATAATAATATATATATATATAATAATAATGTATTTATTTATTTACAGCCATATGTTTTTTGATTGTACAAACAAACAAATTCACAAATTATCACATCAAGTGTAATCATATTACTATGAGCTGACAGCGAATAGAAATTTTTTTAATTTTGTGATTGTATAAACATTAGAAGTATTTAAATTTACATTTATTCATTAAGCAGATGCTTTTATCCAAAGTGACTTACAAATGAAACAGTGTTTATAGTTTTGTTTCTAAATATCAATTGATATTTGTGACCCATGCTGGCAAAATGAGTTGGAATGCGCACGTGGTAATTTTGAGCTAAGTTTCGGGCAAAAAAGGTAAAAATTACGATTTTGGTCGAATGTGCGGTTTTCACAAAAATGAGTTCATTAAGCCCTCGTTTAGTGATCCCGATGCTCCGAATAGTAATTAAACATCTAAAATTATCTTTATTTGGACGTTTTCTGAGAGGAGTAGCGCTTCTCACACTAACTCTCATCCGAAGTGCGTACATAAAGGCGCTTCCGGCAGCACGCGATCCCAATAAATATACACATATTCACAGAATTACAGTAGGCCTATTTAAGTGTTCACGCAAATATAATCAGTTATGTCTTAAGTGAACGTTTGGGGAACTGTTGGGGAAAAACATCGGATGTGTAACATTATATGTGTATATGTAATTTACAGTTGCTTACTGAAGGCCCTGACTGAAACCCCACGGTACGCCACTGCGAGTTATTTTGCCAGCACAGGCCACATTTGATGGTTTTATTCACTTGGCAGCCAATAATTCACTACAAAAACACTTTGTGTTTTGCACACACCATCTTTAGCCTTTGTGCAGTTGAATCTGTATGTAATGTACTGTGGGTTATGTTTTTGATAAAATACTATTTATTGGAGTTTAAAGGTGCTGTATGTAGGATTGACACCGATTGGTTGAACTAGGTATTGCAGTCAAAATATTGGAGAGGGTTATTTTCACCCGGCCCCTCCTTCTCAGACTTGACGCACACGCAGGTTGCCAGATTGACGAACACCAACAGGAACGAACGCACTTGAAGATGAATGAAATGAAATATGCTGTGTTTTCTGCCAACTGGCAACCCGGGGTGCCAAAATATAATTGGGTGAACTGGCAGTGGGCTGGTTTCACAAACCAAAACATAGACCGACATTCCGGCCCGGAACACAAATTTTCAAAGGAGAATAACTGACTGTAGCATTGTTTTTCAGATAAACAAGTATGTTAACTTAGCATGTTTCTTAAATATCTGCAAACATATTATAGTATTTTTAAGCTTTAGTAGAGTCAAAAACTTACATACAACACCTTTAACTGGACGTATGACATTTTTTGACATCAATAACAAAAGATATGTTTCTCCTCCCTTGTAAATGTTAACATATAAAGCTATCCATACTGTATATGATTAGCATTGTAATATTAGCAGTTTTGCATTTTTTTTTTCACTGATATAAGTGAACCTGTCAGAATAGACTTGTGGATTGCAACTCAACAGTTGAGAAACACTATTTAGAGGGCATAGTAGGTATTTGACACGTTTCTTTCTCTCCTGTGTCTAAACATGTTTTTCATGGTCTTTTCCAGCACAGAATAACTGACAAAATCCTCCTGGTCAAGTGTCTGACTGTCCTTGGGGTGGTCATCTTTATGTTCTTCCTGAACTCCTTTGTCCCTGCCATACATCTGGATCTGGGTAAGCGAGAGACAAACAAGGACACAAATTATCAGGATTCATCCGTTTCTATTGCTGAACTGACCCTGCTGTTTACATGCCTCACTGTATAATTATGAGGGCTTGTTTCCTCTCTGTTTGAGCAGAGGAAATGGAATCACAAGAATATCTCGCTATTTTTGAAATGATCAAAAATGTGCCAATTCCTCTACCATGGAGCAAACATTTCATTTTATATGCATTATATTAGGGTTCATAGAATAAAATTAGAGAAACGAATGTTATTAGGCTAACCACTTTCTCCCATGATCTAATTGGTGTGTGTATGAATCCTTCAATGTGTTGATGTCATAATTGTTTGCAGCTGGGCTTTAAATGCAGAAAGAGACACAAACGCAAAATCATAACAATGGAGTAACATGAGATTAAATAAGACAGCTAGTATTACTCGACCTGAAATTAGTCTGTTTTATTTTTTTCTGTGTTTTTTCTTTCCGCCACACAGCCTTTCTTTTTGCACTAACTTTGTCGAACTGGTTTATGGACGTGTTTATTATACGGTGAAAGTGATGTCAGTTACAGATGGAAATTTCACCAAACACTATTAGTGTGACTGAGTTGGTCAATCAGAGAATGCCAGCCTTGCAGCTCGCTGAGGTTGTTGTATTGTTTGGGTCTGATTGTATATTGATAATCAATTCTCATTTGTGGACAGTTTGAGCTTGTGGAAAGATGACACATGCATATTATTTTCTAAATGATCATGTCACATCTCTTCATACATACAAAATCATGTTTTTTTGTTGTTGTCTTCCATAGCTGTGTACTTAATTAATTGGCAATGATCGAAAAAATAATCACTGTACATTACCATTTAAAAAAAAAATGTGTGGTTCTGCTTTCAAATTCCCCTCAGTGCCTCGTTCTGATCAAAACCAGGGTCGACCAGCATGGCCTGCAAATGACTGTCATTAGACTTTCATTAGGTTGACACATCACCACTCCGTTTGACCTTTGATATTGATTATTTAATTATGGGCGAGGATACAGTACGCCTGCTGGAGGGCAATGAAGCACACAGGATGCGCTGCACTCCGCATGTCTTTCCAACGAAAAGCGCATTCACGACAATTAAGTGATTCTTAAGCCCCAAGGCCATCCGTTTCCCAGAAAAATTATGTAACTACAGTTTGATTCTGCTATAACTGACTGGTGAACATTTAGCACATTTCTGTGAACAATATGAGCAGTAACAGTGCATCCGGGAGTTTTCTTGATTTTTTTAGGTCACTGAAAAACTGCTGAGAGATAAAAAAGGCTCTGAAAGGTCATTTCTATAGGTCCATCAAAACATTTCACATGTAGGTCGTAACGGATTTTCAAGGAAATATCAATAATTTTCTCAGTGTGAGACTTTACTCTGAAAGTAAAGATATTTTCCTGCTCAAAAAATCCAAAGAGATTGATAGAAAACAACAAGCAACATTTAACATTTGACTTAAGAAACTTGCAGTACTCATTTGCTTATGTAGTTCAAATTCAGCAGTTCTGCTTAAAGTTGCTAATTGATTTGGTAGTTTTCCAGAAATATACAGACACCTAGTGGCATGGATACAGATAGAATAAAGCATGAACAAAAATGTTCATTACACATGATAAAAATACCCATTTCATATAGTAAGCCATGAATAATTTATTCCACTAGCGAAATGTTCGATAACAAGAAATTCCAGAGAAAATGAGAGGTCATGTGGTCTCAACATTTCAACCCCCATGAGGCGATACTCCATGTGAATTAAGCAGCTTTATTATCTTTATTATTATGGACATGTTTTTATGAGTCATGAGTCTTTATCTCATGTGAATGTTTGTTTTAAACCATTTTCTTTTAAATATGCACTATGAAACTTTGGCCTCTTCTCTGTTTGAAATGTAAAATAGCAAAATTATTTCTTTACATGGGTTATGCTTTGGCACTGCTCCTCTGCAGAATGATAAATCTGATGGTTTGAGGTATAGATGTTGATTTGTTAATTTTTAACCAAAATCTCTTCTGTAGTGCAACTTTAAAGCAAAATTCATTTATTTAGGGGTAAAACTTTTTAAACGAGGAAACGATTACATTTAAGATCTGGACCACATGCATATTAAATATTGCTAATGTAATTCATCTCTTGATATGGTCATTTATTTATGAATAAATAAGTTAAAATCCAGACATAATTTATCTCCTGGGCAGCACAAAAGCTGTACCACCAAGTAATGAATGAGGAAACCGAGGAAGATTAATCAGAGTAGAACACACACAACAGCTCATTTCTTCCCAGAACATCCTGAGAGAGACAGAGTTCTTTATAAATAAGGTGCTTGTGGAAACACATTTGCTTTAAAATGAAGAACATGATGAGGTGGTGTTTGTGTCTCACTCAACGGGTCAGAATGCCTGTGTTGTTTTGGGTATGATGAATGAGCCTCCCAGGCTTTTCAGCAAACTTGTTTTAATTGCAGAGCCTTCTTTCTCTCTCTGTCTCTCCCATTTTTCTGCTCTGTTTGTGCTGTGCACTGCTGAAGGCCCCCAATTCCTCCAACGTCTTCAGTTGGATGCCGTGGGGGAACATTGAAGCAGAAAGCAAATCAAAAGTTACTTTTTTGGACTAGTGTTGTGACAAACCGTCCCAGTGCCAGTGTGGAAGAAGTCTGGGATTCGTTTCACACCATGCATGAAGTACAGTGCTAGAGTTTGTATGTGTGTGTGTTTGTTCCATCCAAATCGGTGAATATGCTTCACTTTTTGAGAAAAGATGCATAAGATTCTCTGGTCTGATGAGACCAAGATAGAACTTTTTGGCGGAATATATATATAGGGGTGTAACGGTTCACAAAATTCCCAGTTCGGTTCGATACGACACAGGGGTGTCACGTAGGGATGTAACCATTACCGGTTTGACGATAAATCGTGATAAAATACCCCACGGTTAGTATTACCATTTCATATTTTAATTATCACTATAACCGTATTAGATTACCGCGATTTGAACAACTGAGGATAAATAAATACTGTACTGCACAGGGCTCCAGTGTGCGACCAAATGGGCGCATTTTGCGATAATTTTTTCTGCCGGTGCAACTAAATTTTGTGTGCGGTCGCACTGGCGTGACCACCACATTGTTTAACTCATTAGCGCTGCATTTCTGTTGCATGTGAGAAACGGCAAACGAAACTGAAAGCATAATGAAACCGCGCGACTCGTTTGAGCTGCACAGCCCTTCGAGTGTAGAGCCTGGTTTATACTCGCCGCGTCAGGAGCGCGAAGCTGCGTGCAGCAAAAATGAGGTGAATATTGAGGAAACGATGGATGGGTTTCATGCTAAAGTAAAGTAAAAGACCACTTCTTAAACCAAAGGTGAACATGTTAGTATTCTTGTGGGACAAAAACATGCAAGCACTGTCAACAACAGCAAGTTTAGTTTTACTTTTCTTTTTGTTTTCATTTTGAAAAGCTTGTTATCTTTACTGTTTACCTCACGTTATGCTATGGAGGCTCTCTTTTTTTATTTAGTTGATTCCTCAGTGTTTGCTAAACGTTTTGTCATTTATTAGTCGGTATATAATACAGCATGTGGTGTATGCCATGCATGCCTCATCTTATTCGTTTTTGTTAATGCTAAACGTTTTATAAGCTAGTTTGTCATTGTATCTTACTGTTTTATTGTTGTTATGCTTTTTAATTAAGAATAACAATGAATCCATCTTTTGTTTTAGTCTTAAAAAGTGAAAGGTGTGTAGATCAAAAAACGGACCAAATTAGCATGGCCTGCTGTAAATTTTGACCGGTTGATGAAAAACAAGCTTATGTAGATTCTACACATTTAAACAATAAGGTATCTAGTATTATTTATGGAGCAGATAAATACATATAATCATTTATTAATCAGTTATCATTTTGACTTGACCCTTTTCTTTATTTAAAAGCTGAAATGTGAGGTTTACCATTTATGAAACTTTTTCAAAGCTTTATTTGAACATTTACATTAGATATTTGAACATGCTATTAGATAAACTGTTGTCAGTCATGTTGTCATTTACAATCCGGACATCATTGGCAATGGTATTCTTTTACTTATGCAAACATAAACTCATTTCATTTGTTGTTTGTTGATTTTAAATGTAAAACTTGGTGAAATTATTTGTGTGTCAGTACTTTTTGAACATTTCCAGCACATTTTAACAATACCGTGATAGTACTGATAACCGTGATAATTTTGGTCACTATAATCGTGATAAGAAATTTTCATACCGTTACATCCCAAGTGTCATGGTTCGGTATGTTTTCGATACAGCAAAAACAAAGAAATGCCAGACAAATTTCCTTGATTTTTACTTTTTTTATTTTTTTTATTTGTTAAAACTAGTATCATATGATCTTAAAAATATTTTAGACTTTGGAAGGCCTTTTGACTTTTGCCGTTTATCTAAGATGATTTTGGAAGCTTTTTCAACATTCGTTTCTGATTTATTTGGTTCCACCGTGTTCACTGCTGATTTTCATTGTTTTATATTTAAACTGTCAATTATTTATTTATTTTTTACTTTCGCTTTATTGTTTTTCATAAAGAGAGAAAACAAAACAAAACTGTACCTAGATCCAAATTACAAAACTGCAGGAACATCACACCTTTTATAACAAAATTAAATTTGAATACCCTTTTCCAGTTTCTTTTTCAAAAAAAACTAAAAACTTGTGGCTGTCACAAGTGTTTCAAAGTGGAACCAACACCTTGTCACTTTCAAAATAGTCTATAAAGCATTCCCAAGTGTCATAGAACTTATAAGCTTTATCTTTTATAGAAAACCTAATTCTTTCTAATTGAAGGTATTGCATGACCTCTCATATCCAAGTGAAATGGGTCAGGGTTTTTTTGTTGTTTCCAATTAAGAAGAAGAAGTCTTCGTGCAATAAGCATCACAAATATAATCACAGAATACTGATATTGTAATGGTATCATCTTTAACCCCAAAA